ATAAATAAATATTTATTTATTTATTCTCGAATAGGCGAGGCACGCCCATGGAGGCATGATTGGGTATGTGCAACTGTACTGACATATTATGGTAACTGTAAGAGTGACAGCAGCAAATTGGTCATATAAATAAATAGTTTGTTCTCAAATTCCTTGAGACACACCGAATCAGGCGTGATCAAGGTTTGAAGGCGGTTGTGTATCACGACGATACTTCGGGTTCAATCGTGTGTGGTTGAAACGGTCAAGGCACTATAAATGCAATGTAATAGTGCTTGTAGACGGAACGTAACCTATTCTTGCATGTGTCGGGAAGAGTTGAGATGTGAGTCTAGTCGACTTGCCAGTATGTACTTGTGGGCAGTGACTTTATTCAGTGGTTAGTCACATCCGCCACGTCGCAGTACTGTTAAGCAGACATTTGTGGCTTTTTTATAGGGAGAACACTTGCCAGGCAAAAACCCACCACATCCTGCAACCCCGCCGTAAAGCATTTTGACCATTAACGTATGACTGGCAAATCCGTTTGACGACTGATTTCGTATTCCGTAATTCGCAGACAAATGGCTCCTAATTTCCTCTGTTAGTTGGACAGGTAGTTTTATCGGGGCCGCCATTATTGATGAGGCCGGTTGAGGAGGGGAACGTCGCGAATAGTCGTCTTGTTGTGTGTCAAGGTGAGCAAAGGCTCAAATTTTTCTGCTGTCCGGTTTTTTCAGATGGCTAACGTATGGAAGTATGAAGATATGTCCAGTTCTCTATACTGGACAAGTGTTGTGGTGATTGAAGTTGGGTCTTTTTGGTGTCCAATCATGCTCCATCTAAGTCCCTGTCGGTGGTTAAGTCCGTCTTGGGCAAAATTTGTTCCTCAGTTCAAACCCAAAGCTCCAGGTCCCCTGCTGGCTGTTTCCTGTATTAGATAGAATAACACGGTGAGTACCAACTGTAGCGGCTGGTTGCACTTCCGAGGCACGAGGAGATTACCAGACTTCGCTGTCTCTTCAGGCTAGCACGCAGTTCTGCCCTGAGGTTTTTGCAAGTCTCACTGCATTCGCTTCCAGAGGGAATACGTCGGCGAGCATTCATAAGTGTCAGAGACTGTGTAGTGACCCAATGTTCCGCTTGGCAATTTGCTTTGCCGCCTGAAGGCAGGCCCGCAAACAGTAACGTTTGCCGAATACTTGAGCAGTGATCTTCGACGTTGTTCAGTAGGCCGGATGTGAGCGCACTTTGATACATGTTCAGGACACCTGGTTTCGCCAACTGGCTAGGGCCAGTCCGTTTACATTGACCTTGCGGACTTCCACCAAACGCACCCGGAGATCCGCGTAAACAATTGAGTGGTTAGAGCCCAGGCTCGCGCTCCAAATCCAGTGACCGTTTGGGACCCAGCCTCTCCAGCGGTAACTGATCGAAGTATTAGCCATTTGCGTCCATGGCTTGTCCTAGGTTGGTTGGCGCCAAGTCACGCTTCTGCGAGTGCTGTGCCGATAGTTTGTGCTCTCGTGAGAGAGACGGACATCTTCACACAGCTGTAGCAGCTGCTCACCCTTATCATTACGGGAGCCTACACCCTGTTGTTCACCCAGCTAGCGATCATCAGAGGACAAGTTCCCGACTTCGGTGTTTAGATCTCCAGCAGGCGCCACAGTATCCGCCCGAAGGAGATCGTAAACCTGCTGATAGAAAGCTGCTTTCACTGAATCGGTGCTACAGTTTGTAGGGACTTGGGCCGCAATGACAAAATACACCGTTTATTCACGCGCGACTTCCTATCCTGGAAAGAAGTAGGTACTCTGACGGCCCACCTCCGACGTATGCTTGGGATCAAAGCGATCAGAGCAGCCCCAGCCCGGGGACTCAACACCATGTGGACGCCAGCTTGACAGGCATTGGAAGCTGCATAATCGCCAGACAGTGCAATTAGGTTGTCGTGTCAATGTAGCATGTGGGTGATCGCAGGGTAACCACGGAGCTCGAATATTGCAGGCGGGTTTTTATGAACAACAAAGATGGATCGATGGGGTCTCTAGTGTGAGGGAAAGTGCTGCCTGTTGGCCAATCTGCAGCAAAGTGCGCACCCTAAGGCATGCCAGGTTTGATGAGACGCGAGGTCTCTGTAACTAAAGATCCTTCGTTCATAACGGTTTAGGCAACTTTGAAGTCCTCTTGCAGTTGCAGTGACATAGCCTCACACATTTAGTAAAATAATTGATCATTACTCATGTGTAGTGGTACAACTTCGTAGGCGTCAAGTGGCCTCTAATATCTACGGCCATACTGTGGTTCAGACTTTCGAATACTAGTGGACACGATAGAGCTTTAGACGACTTGTTACTCAGCTTCTTGTGCTTGCGAGTGACGCTGTTGACAGAATGTTGACGTCGAGGTGTGGAAGTGGCCACATGCAACGGTGCAGGAAGGCAACCTCCTTCTTGCGCTGGCTTCCGTTTCCTGTCTAAATCTATTCGTGGGGCGTCCCGCAATTTTGACTGAGGAACAATAAGTTCAGAAGGTCCGCCTAGACCAGAAAGTAGGTACAACACATAGTTCACGGCTACTAAAATGGAGCAAAGATGCACCAGGCTTCAGACTGCAATCCATTGCCCAACCACTTTCCGCCTGTTAGATTTGGGTCCACCACTGCACGGCCAAGTGTAAACCATGACGTATTTCGGGTCTGCAGACCGCAACCTAAGCTAGTGGTCTCCTCCGTCGGTAGACAGTAGCACTGCGATCTGCCCTTCACCTGATGGTCTTCGTGTCAACGCACCTGCATTGCTGTTTTGCAGCCCCGAGCGATACTGGCAAGTAAAGTAATATTCCTATAGTCGTGCTTGTCAACGAGAGACCAGTCCCTGTGGGTCATTGCAAATTCGCAGCCATTTGATAGAACGGTAGTCTAAACCTACTACTAGTGCCCGGTTGGACAAAGGCGGGTGAAAGTGGTTTGGAAAGTAACATAGCGCTAGCATTTCGCAGCGCATGTTGGAGTAAAGCCGTTCGCGCTCATCTAGCTGACGACCAGCTTAGGCACGACTATTCTTTTTCCATCACAGAACTGCAACCATACCGCATCAATGGCTCAGTCCATTGCATTAGTGTGGAGCATAAAGCGTTCAGCAAATTTGTAGTACCAATAAAAGTCATTATTGGTTGAAGTGACAGTATTTTTAAGGATTCTAATGCCGTCTCAGATTCATTGACTCAAACAAACCGTCAACGACGATGTGTCAAACGAAAACCAGGCGCTGCGATGGCAGCGGATCCTTTAACGAATTCCCGATAAAAGGATGCAGGGTCCATGAAGCTACGGATCTCGTAAACATTGAAAGCAGTCGGATAAGTAATTACGCGCTCGATCTTAGCCTAGCAATGTCGCACCACCAGGTATATGTTGACCATGGAATTGCACTTTCTTCCTATGTTATTTACAATTTTTATTTCTCATTGTCAAACCAGCATCACAAGGTCTACTCAGCACTTCATAGGGACGATAGTTGTGTGCTACCGTTGAACGACCGCGGACCATGTTAACGTTTGGTAAATCAAACAACAAAGGGGAACGAGCTCACTTAGGAGTTTCTGCATAACTTTTTGAAATGTAGCCGGCGCATTACAGAGTCCGAATGGCTTACTCTCGTTATCATACAAACCAGCTCAATGGAACAATGGTGTATTACAAGTAAAAAGGCAATGCTTATTAAGTTCCGTGAAATGGAAATTATTGCAAAAATTAACTTGTATGATGAAGTGAAAAAGCGTTTTGGGGGACTCTCCATGAGGTTTGTAGAATTTCGGACACCTTCACGTGGTAAAAGTATAAATGAAGGGTGGACGTAAGCTGTCCTCTGTTTAGCTTCTAAATACACTTCCGCCTGCTAGTAACCCGCCGCGCAATCAGCACTGGAGAATCACCTAGCCCCAACAAATGCTTCAAAATTTGCGTCGATACTTGCTAAAAGAAAGGAGTCATAGTGATGGCGTACAGTTTGCAGTTACCAACGCATGAGTGGAGTTCACATACCTCTTCTTAAAGGGTAACATCGGCGACCTCCAGGAGAAGACAATGGTCGCATAATCTACATGTATAACATGGTTTATCATTTCCTCCAGCCCACGGGGTCAACCGCTGTCCTGTGCAAGTTTGTAACTGGCATAGCAGTAGATGAGCCAGCTATAACATAGTCAACTGCCAATTATGCAGGTCTACGGCTGTCACCTTTGACGAATTGGAACTAGCTGCGGCATCCGGAAGTCATAGGGGCAGAACCGGCAGCGCTCTGCTGGAAGGTGCACCACTGACGAGATCCGGCCGTTCGAAAAGTTGGTGTCTGGTGTTTGTCTAAACTAGTCAATGCTTGCCGACAGAAGGTGAACCGTGCTGAAATAGCTCCAATCATCCAAGTGTGTCTGGTAGTGGATGGGCACATGTCGACGTTGCTGTCGTATTGGATGTTGGTCCATTGTGTCCTTCCGTTGTTAAAACACGTCGGAACCTCCAGGACGATCGCAGTGAATTACAAAGACATAACAAATCTGGTACAGCAATAACGATACCGTTTTCCTCAAGGGCTGTCTTCTACGTATTTTAAGAGCGCGTCAACCCCTCGTGTGTCCGGAAGAGTTGAGCAATGAGAGTCAGCGAGAGATATCGGGAAGCGATGCAGCAGCAAGCTTCTTTCGTTTTGAAACGTGACAATATGCTTTCAATCTCAATACAACCCCCGTGAGTTTCGAGGCAGCTAGCACCTACTGTTGCGTCCCGCTTAACCGGGGAAAAATGGAATCCTACATAACGCTCAGCGATCTCATGTTGATCCCTTAAGTGTCCGACCTAACGTCGGAATACGTGATCCATCTGCTATCGTCAAACGAGGGTTGGGATCCTAATCCGGTACCGCACACAGCCAAACATTTCGAAAATACTACCCAGCACGTTGAGAAGTGATTGTGTTAGGGTAACGGCTTTTATTCTACCAGGAGGGATGAACGTTGACATGATTTTATTGCTATTGGATAAACAAACAGGTAGGCTACTGCAAGAACGTTACTTACCATGGTTCCTCGTTGTCTTTAAAGCAGAATTGTGACCAGCATGTTGAGCCTTTCCACAAATATGGGGCAGCAGGAGTAGTTTCGGCGATCGTAGGAAGTCATCGCTTTGTGAGTTTGTTGACGCGAGGAGGCGGAAGTAGGTGCCCAGCCGTGAGCATTTTAAAACAAAAAATTATGCTGCAGGCGCGATTGCAATTGCTTTACACTTTCATAGCCAATGGCGGCGTCAAGTGATTCCGGCCTTGCCCGAGGCGACTTAAGAATGAATTTGGAAAAGAGAGCCAGGTTGGCGACACCATTGTGAAAGCGGTTAAAACACTTGCTATTCAAGTTAGACCCCCGAAGCGTCCAGGAAGACTTCTGCAGCAATCACCAGAAGAGGTACGTCATACCGCTTCGCCAGGTCGGAGGAAAGCTGCTGCCTAGCTTAGAACGATTGCAAACATAAGATCACCATGGCGCTGGCCGAGTGCCTAGATCGTGGACGGAACCATAGAGCATCCGGAAAGGAATCTAGAGTCAACCGACATCCCACAGGTTAACGTGCGGCCTGCTCCTTCAGAAAACTCGTGATACCCTGTCCACGAGCACGCATGGCATGTCCGTCAAGTAAGTACGGATTTGCACTTCCCACAGGCCAAACTCATCACCCGAGGCAAATATATTGGGCTATCGTGAGCTTGAAAGGGGCTCCACAAATCAAAACACCATTCTAACTCCTGAAGCGGTTGTAGGAATTACAGACAGTTATAAATAAATAAATAAATAAACAGGCATATTCCGAGACCTGCTAGAAGCTCCACCCTAAAGGGTTCGGCTCAATGCTTAAATTAATCCGATGCTCTTGCATGGAAGTAGGTAAAATATAAGTATATGTTCATCGTTAGCAATTACAAATGCATTGGCATTGTTTGATATATAGCTACTGGGTCGCAGGCGCCCACCTTGCATTTTGCTGGTTCCTTCGGGCGATATTGAGCTCCTTGTTCTTTTATTGTGAAAACTTCGCGGAGGTGTTGTTGTGCCTTTTCTCCTTGGAACAGAATCCAATTCGCCACAAGTTCACTTTAAATTGATCGCACATTAATTGGCCATTCAGTTGCCCCAATTGTTGTTGCGCACATGGAAGAAATGAGTGAAGGGATTATAAGGCATACGAAAAGTTAAAAAACAATTCCGATAAATGCAGACAAAAATAGAAACAATTTGTTAAGAGAGAAAATAAAGCTGCGTGCTTCAGTAGAAAAATACCAATTGACAAAAAATATAGCCCTACTTTTCTTACGCTGATATTGCTCTCCGGCGCAAAATTTCAATCTGTTATTCTCAGATAAAAGAAAAAGCCTTTCTACAGTTAGAATACCGCTTAAAGAAGCACAAAATTACACTGGTCTGGACCACCTTTAGCGCCTGAATACGTTGAACGTAAAAGCAACACAATACGTGCAGTAGATTGCGAGTTATACGCAATTAAATGACGGTCTACGAATAAGGCTATTTTTATACTTCGCTAAAACTGGCTTTCTGGTTTGCAAGCAGATAGCAGAAAAAAGTAAGGAAAATATAAAAAGTAGGGAAGCGGCGTATGTTCTAGATAGGCATAGCTATCTAGAAATACTCTAATTGGCCCGTAATACCCTGCGACAACTACGAACTGCGCAGGTGGCCGAAAAAGTAAACTTTGCTGGCATTCATGACAAATATATGCAAATCAGGGATGATCTTGCGCGAAAACGCTAGAAATCCAGCAAGGAATATTATATCTACATGGGAATTCAGGGGAGCTTGTAATTAACTCACGGTTAGAAGGCCACAGCATATCATTTTCAGTGGATGCTGAGCCACATAAACACCAGTAAAATAGAGTTTAGTTAGCTCTGACTAAGCTTTTCTAAAGCTTACAACAAACCGCATGAGCCAGGTCTACCTGAGTAACCCTGGGGATCTTTCAGATCCGTTGACAGATTTCGGCCTACAAAATACACACATTTCTTAGCCAAACATCACAAGATTTATCACTTAGAGCCGATTTTCTATATTCATATGGCTCTGTCCTTAACGTCAGTGAGCTATAGGAGCCTGTAACCAATAATAAAGAAATAAGCATGGGAAAATTTAATAAAAGTTAGCTAATTGCATTTGGGCGTGAAATCCGTTTTGGTCTACATTGGTTGGGCTTTAACAACTCTACTTCTGGGGGTTGAGCTTCCTCATACTTGAGGTATTGTTATGCCTCATGTGTAGATGCACACTGTTGTGCAGCTCTTTGATGAATTTCGATTTATTTCTCTCTATTTTTAAGTTCCGAAGATAGTGCCGGCGGTGTTCATTTAGATGGCAACGTTAACTGGTACTCTAATGTCACACCGACTATTTCTTTTGTGATTTTTCTGCAAGAGCTGTTCTAGCACCCTAAGCAAAGAGCGATAAGGTAAATCAGGCGTAGAATAGTAGCAAAAACCAGTGGGAGCTGGTCGTTCACCCGCCATTACGCATATACGCATGGTAGGCTTTGGAGCCAGCTAAAAGATAAAATGACACACGGGCGGCCAAGATAAGAAAAGTGGTGATGGAAAGTTTTTGGTGCTCCAGCCAGCCAGTGTGACAGGGGCCTCTCTGGCGTTGGTTAGCTTTAGTGCCAGTGAAATGAAATCTGGACATGCGAGTGTTTTACGAGCAAAAGCAGTTACAAGAAGAGGATATGGTTTTCATTAGCCTGGTCTACTGGTGTTGCCAAAGCGAAAGGCACATGTATACCAGATAAAGCTAAGTATATGGGGTCAAGGGAGAATAAGTGGAGAGCAAAATGTCTGATTCTTGGGTCTAGAACTTATAAAGCGCGCTCATTGTCAACAATAAGAAAGATATATTTATTATTTTGCGGCTTACCTACTGATGGTGTTTGGAAAACTGCTGAGTATTGTAACTAGTTCTCAGACATAATGAAAAAGCTTCTGGTTTATCAAAATGCTTCAGGGAGAAGTCACTTCTGACACCCATAATATAGTGTTGTCCTATCGAAGCGTCCGGCTTAAAATGCAGTCAACGGCGAAGCAGTGCACGCAGCGAACACAACTGTACGCATAACCGAACCTGCATGATACAAAGAAGAAGAAGACGAAGAACGAAAGCGGAGTCTTTAGCGGCCAGAACGACTAAACGTACAAACCAGGGCGCGGGATTATAGTTAAGGTAAAAGTTTGCGAACTTGGTCTGTGTGATCACCATCCATCTTACAATCCCCGATATTAATCTTCGTTGTGTTCACTTCATTTGATCCACAAACCTTTGAGCTACGAACGAGAGAAACGCGAAAACTGTAGTTAAACGTAAGTAAGCTCACCCAAACTGGATAGTTGGTGCTACACGGTAGTGGACAAATTATTCCACTGCCTGTAGCTACAAAATTACGCAAAAAGCGGCGAAGTAAATGCTTCAATCATACCATGCAGCTTCGTATAACCTATAAAATCTGTAATAAGCTTGGGTAATTCTTTAATATTTACAATTTTTGCATAGACTTTGTTGTGACGGATGGTCTTTCAGCTAACGTATAAGCAACGGGTCTAACCCGATATAGCCTAGTGGTAGCGTCCCGGATGGCCATCCGTGTGGCCGGGGTCGTAACCCTGGGCGTGCTGTATTTTATCCTCGCTTTGGCGGTACATCTACTAAAATTGGAACTGTATAGTGAAGACTGTTATGCACACTGTGCAAGGATGACATACCAAAATTTAAAACATCTAAATGGCTGTTGGCTTGCATATCTACAGGTATGCCACTGCATTCCGACGCCATTATTACACCCTTCTTCTAGCTTAGGATGGAGCACCTAGGCACACATTACTTACGAGGTACATTTGCGTGTCAGTTTGTCTTCATGTAGTGAGCGTAGGATATTCACAAGCTGTCCCATTCCTTATCTGGGACTTATTAACTATGGAGTCTCACAAGGAGTATTTGCTTAAGTTCCCGAATCTGCAGGTTTATATGGTGTGCGGAAATGTTTATTAGTCACTCACAGCATAAGATTGCCAATATACTTTGCCGTTGGGCGGGATTCTATAGTTAACCATTATTAAGTTTTAATGTGCACCGTTCTCTGACCTACCCGCGCAGTCCAAGGTTCACGGGGTAGAAGAATTCCACGCCACTGCGCACACTTGCATCCTTGAGGTCAAAGTGGGAATTCAGTTCGACAGATGTTTGCTATGGTACCATAACAATTGCTTCAGACTGGACCACGAATCTAGTGATCTTCCTGCCCGACATCTACAATTAATGTGGTATTGCTTCCACTGTGTGTGCTTTGCAAACACTTGGTCTCGCTTGATACATGATCGGACTTGTGCTACAATTGCGCACGTCACAACTGTACAGGATTTTGCATGTAAGAACTGTGTACCTTAGGCCAGAAAATAAGGAAAAGTAACTTCATAACCAGCGCTTGCTAATTAAGGCATTGCTTTCAAAATTCGATGAGTTGCAGTCTTCCTTGGAATGTTGCTTGCGTGGGGCATAAATAGCTGTGGGTAGAAAATGAAACCTTCTTGTCTGCAACAGTGAGGAGCCGGTCATGCGAAAAAGCTAAAACTTGGCGGGACCTAGATAGAAGGCGTGTGCATGATATTCTTCACATAGCCGCAATACCGTTATACCTCGGTATCAGAAGAATACATCGAGAAACTGGTATACTTCACCAACAAAGTTATGCAAGGCCTATCATGGCTGGTTTTAGGAAACCTGTACACCGGACCCACTACTTAACCGGGCTAGGTTGGTTGCAAGTCAAACAAATGGTCGGTAGCAAATAGTACCGGACACACTAACATCGAAGGTTAAAGCCCTTCTGATGAGCGGGGTAATACGTACCAATGCCAGTTTGGCTAACGAATATGCGGCCTCACACGCTGGAATTTGCGATGGTGAGCCTCATATTACGGGGACACCTAAGCAAACCGCTAGCTACTACT